TTACCTAAATTGCAAAGGGCCTCTTGTAGCAATTTGGAGTTTGTGCCTACTGCTGCTAGGCTGAAGAAAGTAGAGGATTTGTAGATGTGCCTTGCATTCACATTCCAAGCTGTCAGTCAGATAGAACGCTTCTCAGGTGTGTTGGTAACAGGCTGAGCTTTCCGTCCTCTGTGTGTTGGCTGTGGTGCTAAGGAGCATCCCCCAGAGTATTTAACAGTACAAAGTGTGTGGCAGCTTACCTGAAAGAGAGAGGTCTGAGAAAGTGCGTGTCATACACTATTGAGATGGTTGTTCAGTGCAGTGATTTATTATTTTTTTAAAAGAAAAGAAAAAAGCCGGAGTTCTTGCTTCTGGAGGCTTGTGCTTTTTTCACCCACTAGGGCTTTACTGTCAACGTATTGAGGGGCGCAAAGGCCATCTGTCTGTGGCATAAGTTTTAGACTTTGTGCAACATCTCCAAGAAGACACTGGGAGAGGGGGGAGCGTGTTCCACAGCCATCAGAGATTAGCCATGCTTCTTCACGTAGCCTTATCTGAAAGTATTTAGGGGAGAAGGGGTCTTAGAAAACATGTGGTACAAACAGATGGAAAGTCACTGGCAATTCTTCCTTTTCAGAAACACTCAGCTGTAAATTTCCTACCAACAGATTTTTTTTTTAAGTTCTCAAATGTTTGAAACATGGTTTTCACTAAAAAACAAACAAACCCCAACACCTTTCATTCCACATGCCCTTTGCTTATTGATGGTGACCTATCATGGAGAAGCATAGAGTATTCAGCATGAAGAGGGAGATGTATTCATCCAACCTGGTCTGCATGTTCTTTTTCCTCCATCCCCAGACATTTGAAACACCTGGCCCTTCAAGCCAATTAAGTGTGTGTGACCTGATGTATGCCCTTCAGCAGCAGCAAGATGATGTAGCCTGAGCTATCAAGAGAGATGGGAGGCACTCCACTTGCCTCAGTTCTCTCAACATTCCCAGTTGCCTTTTTCTGCAAGAAGCTCGAGAACAGGTGGTTGGCCTCAGACTTCCAAGTAGCTAAGGCTGCAGGCTATTTCTTCAAGGATTCCAGAATTTTTTCTGGCTCCCATCAGTCTCTGGGGGCAGACCACTGAATTTGGTTCTCAACCTCTGCAGTGGTTACAGGTAGTTTTGAAGTCAAACCTGACCTCCGGCTCAGGTATCAGCTCTCCTGTCTGTCAATTGCTTTATGATACAGTGGTACCTTGGAACTCGAATGTAATCTGTTCCGGAAGACCGTTCGACTTCTGAAACGTTTGAGTTCCGAGGCGCAGCTTCCGATTGGCCGACAGCTAGATTTTTGCACAGCGGAAGCCGCGTAGGACATTTGTGTTCCGAAGAATGTGGAAAACTGGAGCACGCACTTCTGGGTTTTTGGCGTTCAGGAGCCCAAACGTTTGAGAACGGAGCCGTTCAAGTTCCAAGGTACCACTGTGGTTTGTTTTTTATGTGAACTGTTTGTGTGTTTTTTGATATCAGAACGTCAGGATAGGATATTCCTATAAATTAAGATTTTTTTTAAAAAAAAAATATCTTACTGTCCAAGTTCACCTCCTCCAAATTATGCACCAGATATTACCCTTACAGTTAGTTGGTGATGATACTCAAAGAGGAACAGAGAAATGTATTTCTCTTGTAGACCAGCCACCTCTGGTTTCACATAAGGATATTAGCTAATGTCAGTTATCAACCATCTCTTCACCCCCAAGTCAGCAAAACCAACTGATGTCGGTTCATTTGGCTTTTTTTCCTGGATAGGGTTTGAGTTACTGAATCTAGCAGAAAGAGAAAATGTGCCTAAAAGTTGCCATTAAAATATTACTTTGCAGGAATGTTTAGAGAGGCGGATGTTTGGAGGGACATTTCCTACTTCCCCCTTCATCTATTACTATGATAGCAATTACGATTTCAAGAGGCGTCGTCAGAGAATAAAGAAAAAAGTGCAAGGTATGATATAAATTTGTTGAGCTTTCTAAGTCCACATTTTTGTTTTGCTCCTCTTTAACCATGGCTGCTGTTAGGTTTGCTGCTTCTTGACTTAATCTGGATAATTTAAAGGAGTAGAAGTGGGGATATTTCAGAACCAGGATGAAACAACAAGTATTTACCTTCTCTGATTATATGGCTCCAGACAGACCTGCCTGAAATTCAGGCTTCAGAGTACATAAACGAAGAGGAGAAATATTTTACAGTTATGGGATGATTTACTGAGCACTCAAGCCACATTTGATCTTTACTGAGAAATTGGGGTTCTTTTTTAGCTTCATTGTATGTTTGAGCTGCTGCATTTAGATGAAATGTCCTGAACTCTTCAACCAGTGCTCAAATTTGTGGCTTTTTATTCCCAAAACACTGGAATGCAGAGTTGGCATTTTGATAAAAGGTAAATCATGTTATTTTGAAACCTGCCTATAACTTCCAACTACTTTACTGGGTGATATTGGCAACTGTTGCCATTACATTTCCTATTTGAGGTTGAGCATATAGCTCTAACAGTTATAAAGCTTGGGGGACTTAAGATCGGTATGAACTCAATGATATAGCTGTAAAAGATTTTTAACATTGCTCATAGTTTCTGGCTGCAGCTGACCTAAAAAATGGATGAGTATCCATATTTCATCAAACTGCTTAATTACTTTGCATGCAGGGTGCCCTACAAAGCCTTCAAATTATAAACAGTACTAGGTGTGTGTGTGTGTGTGTGTGTGTGTGTGTGTCTGTGTCTGTGTCTGTCTGTTTGTTTGTTTGTTTGTTTGTTTGTTTGTGTATCAATCATTTGACCTCTTAAGTATCATCAAGTGTCTTGGTTTTTACAGAGCTTCAAGATGCAGGCCTTGTGCCAATGGCTCTGAAGAGACCACGCATAGACAATGGCCAGGAACTGCACGGCCATAAGAAAAAGAAGAAAACATTAAAGAACCATGAAAAGAGAGGAGATAAGCATCATAAAAAGCTGAAGAAAATGTCCCAGGCCAACATACCCAAAGGAAGGAAGGATAAGAAGGTGGTCCAGAGTAACTATAACATGGAAGAGGACTTTCCCAGAGGTGGTAACAGGGGTGCTCTTAAAAAGAGCAGGAAAACCAGGGCACAGGGCACCTTTGGCCTCCCAGCAAATGGAGGCCAAGCAGAAATCCTTCAGGTTCCTCTGAAGACAGCAAAAAAGAGGAAGAAGAAACGGAGAAAGGACACAAGTGGTAGCTCTCCCAGGGATGAAAGTTTATTCCTGATAAAACAGAGGAAGAAGAAATCAAAACAGAAACAGAAACCCAATTTGTGATGGAAGGGGGAGTGGATGTGGGGTTGGGGGTTAAGCTTGAGACAGCTTTCTCACCATCACCCACCCATACCCCATGGAACATAAAACCATCCATAAGTGCAGGCTGGGATACAAAAAAACAAAAACAAAAACCCAGTGAGTTTGCCTGTGCCATTTCATTTGGTTTGTGACAAAAAAAATGATTAATGTATACAAGAATATACATTGTACTTGTTTTCTACAACTTCTGTATTTGGATTGAACGTGGGGGGTAAGGGGTTGTGCTACAAAATCAAAGCAAAATGAGGATTGGTCCACTGTGTTGCATACAGTCTTTTTTCTCTTTTTTAAAAAAATAAATCCTGCTGTTTGTTAAAGCACTTCTCTTTAGCACATGTGATTTATTTGCATGCAGGCTTTAGAGAAGAACTTCGCAGAGGGCGTGGATATTGAACAAATTGACTTAAAGCTGCTTCACCTGTTTGACAGAAATGGGAACAGAATTACATATAACCTGACAGCAGGAGTCACTTCGTGCTGTTTCTGTTGGTGCTTCTGTAGGATGTGTGAAACAGGTCTAGGAAACAGGATTGGAGACTGAAAATAAATCTAAGACTGAAGAGAGTTCTCATCTACATCCTAATTTATTTTCATCCCAGAGTTGATCCATGATGTCGCCTTCTTGTGCATTCTTCTGCCTTGAGGAATATGTGGAAGTGTCTTTAACTTGTCATAGATACATCACCACAAGTTGGACTGGCAAGTCTGGTTGTAAGAGCTAGTCTTTTATGTAGGAAGGCTTCAATTCTGAAATCTCAGCCTCTCAGGTGCTCTCCTACTGAATTTCAAGGGGCTTACTAGTAAGTGACTTCATGGTTGTCTCCTAATATATTTAACTTGCCAACAAACAAAGAAGTTAAATTATTTTATTTTAAAAAACCCAATTTAAATAGTTAATTAAATCTTCATAGAGATAGCTATTTAAGTTATAAAGATAATGATTGTGTAAGAAATATACCTGTTCTCAGAAATAACTTGACATATAATTCAGTTGCTTTAAAATTAGATATTTTTGTACTTTAACTGAATTACAGTTAAAATTTTAAGGTAGGAATCAAATGCAGTATTCAAGCAGGAAAACAACAATTTTAGTGCCTTCCTTGTTTCCTTAAAATCACACTTATACTGTCTTAACATTAATGCTGCCAACCCAAGTTAGCTCTAACTCAAGGATTTTTGGGCTGTTTCACACATTACTTTTTCTGAGCCTGACGTTAATCTCCATGTTGGAAAAGGTAGCCTTGGTACTATACAATAGCACTGAAACCTTATTGTCATGATAAACCACTTTCCTAGTAAGAGCTGTATCCAATTATATCCCTCCCTTCCCTGACAGAATGCTTTTTGATTCAGCAAAGGTTTCTGTGAGTTGAAAGGGGGAGGGGAGTGATTGTGAGGAGGCACAATTGCAGTGGAGCCTAAGCAGAATCCTGCTTGATCAATATGGCTAGCCAGTTGGCTATGGGAGCTCATAAGTGAGGCATGATGGAAATACCTCTCTTCTGCTTAGGGACCCCAGCAACTGACACTCAGAAGCCTATGGCCTCTTATACTGGAGGTAGTACCTAGACTTCATGACTATTGGCCATTGATGGCCTTACCCTCCATGAATTCATTTAATCCTGTTTCCAAATCAACCAGATTGATGGCCATCACTACATTTCCCATAGTTCTAGCTGTGTGCTTTGTAAGAAGTATTTCCTTTTGTCTGTCCCAAGTCTTTAAGCATTCATTGGATGACCGTGGCTTCAATTATAGGAGAGCGTTCAAAACTTCTTTCTTTCCACTGTCTTAGCAACATGCATAGTTTTATAGCTTCTATTTCATCCTCCCCCTCCCTTACACACCATTTTTTTCCTAAACCATAAAAGCTCCAAGCTTCATATCCCCATAAACGAATTTCTCCAACAACTTGATCTTGTTGGTTGAAAATGAAAATGAATATAAACCCACCACAATATAATCTTATTGGGCCAGTTCTGTTCTGGTGCCTAGACAATCTAATGGGATGGTCTACCCCATGGGTAGGCAAACGAAGGCCCGGGGGCCGTATGCGGCCCAATCACCTTCTAAATCCAGCCCACGGACGGTCTGGGAATCAGCGTGTTTTTGCATGAGTAGAATGTGTCCTTTTATTTAAAATGTATCTCTGGGTTATTTGTGGGGCATAGGAATTCATTCATTTATTTATTTTTTCCAAAATATAGTCTGGCCCCCACAAGGTCTGAGGGACAGTGGACTGGCTTCCCTGCTGAAAAAGTTTGCTGACCCCCTGGTCTACCCAGTCTGTGAGGTTGTAGAAATTGACATATAAATGTAATTGTGATTATGCAGAACACCATGCGTGCAAGTTACAGGAGTGAGGAGGCAGAGTCGAAAAAGAGCTTAACAAGTTGGAGCCCATAAATAAGAGACAAATAGTGGAGCTAGATGACATCATATTGGCTGGCTTGAAAAATTAGATGAGAAGCAACTTTCAAAACAGTAAAGAAGAACAAACATATAGCAATAATCTTAGCAAGGTAGGATGATAAACTGCAATATATAGGCAGTATTTAAACTGTATGAGAATCCTGCACAATTCTGTTCAATGACATGTCTGTCCTCTACATATTTATTTTGGGTCAGTATAAATTACCAGTTCCTAGTTTATCTCTTCAAAGCTGTATGTCATCCCCATGTGTTGGGTTTTGTTTCTTTTTAAAGAACTCTTAGTCTTTACCCTGAAGTTGCCTGGAACTGAATAACATTCTTATCCCCGGAGAGGAAGATGTCTCAAGGTTGCAGTTGATGTGCACTGGCAAAGTATCACGAGGGACTCTCCATTGTAAGAATAAATAAGGGGCTTCCATTTAACAAGAGGAGTTGGGAAGCAGGAATGATCTGGTTCTGCAGTGGTTTGGGTGGGGAATTGTTCAAGGTATGAACAAGTGGCAAGAATATACTTAGTTAATTATTTGCTTTGGGCTTCAGGTGGATAGTTCTGTAGGAGGAAAACATGCAGCAATTTCTGAAGTCTGCTTATCTTCTGCTTGTAGCAGGATATGAATTCTGAGGAATTGAATTGACAAGGAGGCAAGAAATGCTAAGGCGTTGGAACACTTACTTTCAAAGCCGCTGAAGTTTAATACTACAATGCACACACAACAGAAATGACAAAGGCTTCCTGTATCTGGTGTTAGCATTTCAGTATGATCAGGGTTGACGAAAAGCAAGGTAAAAAATAAAATAAAATCCATGCCACAATGGTCTAAATTCCACATCAAAGAGGAGAAGCTGTCTTCTGCAAACTCTGTTGCTGATGAAACTTCGGCGTATTTTCATGATTCATCTAATTTTGTGTAATTTGGTTTCCCAAACTTAACGCAGAAATGCAGAGTGGGAGAGAGTAAATGACATGTTCAAAGATGGGGAGGTATGGCAGTCTGAAAAAAGGCCATGTTGCACAGAAAAACAAGCAAACTGTGACATTTCAACATTATGCACATTGAATCTGCATATTTTGGGTTATTTTACGTAATTTATTTCGCACCAGATAGTGATGGGAGAAGGCAATAAATTGTTACTGAATTGTTAAGGCTAGGCTGACACTTTGGGCCACTTTGATATAACAATCTTGCTTTAATATACTATAGTTTATTAAACAGAGAATGAAAGCCATGCCTGTGCCTCTTTCACCTCCCTCCGTTTGACACTTCTATCCTGGTTTGTTTAAGCCGGTTTTCTCTGACATCCAGACCAGGAAACTAGTTTAATCTCAGATTACTAACCAAGATACGAAGCTAGGCTCAGAAAGCTGGTTGCCAAAAGAAACTTTATGGCAAGCAAATGCAAGTTCCCCTTCCCAACAGAGTATGCATTCCAGCCCTGCCAGGTCCCAACAAGGAGCTGAAGATGCTCCAGACCCTCAGATAGGAAAGTGATGGAGATGACAGCTAATGGAAGGGGAAAGGGTGCGAGAAAGTCTATTGAAGAAGAAGCACCACTTCCTCTCATCTTCCTGACATCTGGAAACAGTACTTTGTTTCTTCCACAATCTAAGGTGGTAGCACAACAACTACATTTTCATGAATGTCCCTCCTTTGTCTGCTTTATGCTTAAGTTTCCTTCAGGATCAGTTCTCAGGTAGCACTGGACATCTACTGATCTTCCTTTGCACACCCTTCTCTTAAAGGCACAGACACAATTTGCCACGTATCGTCCGCTTGTGAGGTGTAGCACATAGTTCAGGCCTGGTGTTGATGTCAGAACAGTGTTCTTCTCTACCTTGTTTTTCTTCAGGAAGTTCAAGAAGTTCATAATGTGCAGAACTGAAGGACCCAAAGAGGAGGCCCTCAGCCATCAAATCCAGACCATTCAAAATTATTTGTTTAAATCCAGCTATTAGTCAATTAACCATGAAAGCTATGTGGGCTTGTTATAAGCTGTTTTGACTTGCAATCTCAACAAGCATACTTAAAAAAAATAAAAAAAAACTTTTTAAAAGGCAATGTTAATTAGGACTCTGGTCTTTGAGGTGCTGAATCTCCCATAATTTGACTTCCTAATCATTCCATAAAAGAGGTGACGCTTACCTAAAAATACATTTTTTTTATCCTGTTGTTTAGGGCTTACACAGATTCTAAGCTTCAGGAGCCATAGTGTATGGCAAATTCACCACTTGCTGAGCAGCATACGTCTTAAGAGGTTCTATTGAACTCCAGCTGGATTTTCTATGCACTGTGGATTTTCATTTTGCCTTTTAATTTTTTACTTTAATGAATTACTTTTAACAAAAGAACAAAGTAACAACCAAGCTTTTAAAAGAATAGAAATGTGTGGACCTTAAGAGAGAGAAATTAAATTGACTTCAGGAAAACTAATTAAAAACTTGAGAAAATTCCATTCAAAATGGCTGGCCTGCATGTTAAGGAACATAGGAAGCTGCCTTATACAGTTGGTCAATCTAACTCAGTATTGTCGACACTGGCTGGCAGCAGCTCTTTGAGATTTCAGAGCGGGTATTTCCCAGCCGTGCCTGCAGATGCTGGGACTGAACCTGGTATAAACAAAACCACTCACAGTATCAACAAAACCACAACATCATCCATTGTTGTTTAGTCATTTAGTCGTGTCCGACTCTTCATGACTACCCCATGGACCAGAGCACGCCAGGCACTCCTATCTTCCACTGCCTCCCGCAGTTTGGTCAGACTCATGCTGGTAGCTTCGAGAACAGTGTCCAACCATCTCATCCTCTGTCATCCCCTTCTCCTTGTGCCCTCCATCTTTCCCAACATCAGGGTCTTTTCCAGGGAGTCTTCTCATGAGGTGGCCAAAGTATTGGAGCCTCATCTTAACGATCTGTCCTTCCAGTGAGCACTCAGGGCTGATTTCCTTAAGAATGGAGAGGTTTGATCTTCTTGCAGTCCATGGACTCTCAACAGTCTCCTCCAGCACCATAATTCAAAAGCATCCATTCTTCGGCGATCAGCCTTCTTTATGGTCCGGCTTTCACTTCCATACATCACTACTGGGAAAACCATAGCTTTTACTATACGGACCTTCGTTGGCAAGGTGATGTCTCTACTTTTTAAGATGCTGTCTTTTAATCATCCATTAAAATTAATCTAAAAACTAACAAGGCAGAAGAGAATAAAAACAGCAGCAGTGACATTCAGAGCATCACCATCACCATCATAATTTATTATTTATACCCCGCCCATCTGGCTGGGCTTCCTCAGCCACTCTGCGCAGCTCCCAACAGAACACTAAAACAGAATAAAACTTCAAACATTAAAAACTTCCTTAAACAGGGCTGCCTTCAGATGTCTTCTAAAAGTCAGTTGTTTATCTCCTTGACATCTGAAGGGAGGGCGTTCCACAGGGTGGGCGCCACTACCGAAAAGGCCCTCTGCCTAGTTCCCTGTAACCTCGCTTCCCGCAGTGAGGGAACCACCAGAAGGCCCTTGGAGCTGGACCTCAGTGTCTGGGCTGAATGATGAGGGTGGAGACGCTCCTTCAGGTATACTGGGCCGAGGTCATTTAGGGCTTTGAAGGTAAGCACTAGCACTTTGAGTTGTGCTTGGAAACGTACTGGGAGCATCCCGAAAAGCCTCTTGTCTTTGCCAGACAGCAAGTGGCAGTGAATCCAGCTGGAGTTCTCTCAATCTCTCTGTTACTTTCTTGGGAGGCTTTTCCTGGAGTATGTACGCATTGGGTAGGAAGCACGGTAAACTTATGAGTTGAATTTGTGGCCTCTGGGGTGGTGGTGGAATTGCCTCTTGATAACCATATTGTTGTGGTTTGATCAGTTCCTCAGTACTCCTGTAAATATTAATACTGCGACTTCCCAGGGCAGATCAGGTGGTAGTTTTGCCAAGAAGGAAGTAATTTCAGCCCAAAACACAAATTAATCATTTCTTACTAAAGCCACAGCTATCCAGTAGCTGGTTTGGTGTCACCTGAATCTGTTCCTTACAGCAAATGTGCTTGTTATATCATTGTTCATATACCTGGGATGAAAGGTGAATGACAGCAAATGTGAAACTTTTTCCTGAACTTGGGTGTCCTCCTGTTCTTTATTTGGAATGAGAGTCTCTGCTCAAAGATACAGAAAAATCTCTGCCTCCTGCTGTTACTGTGAAGAAACCCAAAGCACGAACCTCACCGTCTAAAGTGTTTTGCTAGATTTCACAATCTTCCTGTTATAGTAAATGGAAAACGAGTAAAAGCAGGAATCGGCACTGTATTGTGTGACAGTCCGTAATTAGTCATTTTGCATTGCAAAAATGATTATTAGCACTTCAGTTCATTATCAAAGCAAATTTAATTTTTATATGTAGAGGGAGCTGACTGTATTTAAAAAGGAAGTTTTGTTTGTATAGCCTGAAAAAATTAATTCCTGACAAATGTGAAGGAAATTGATAGATTTTAACCAGGAATATATTTGTGTATGCCTAATTGTCCTTTTTGAAAATATCTGCTCTACATGCCAGCATAGATCTCTATTACAAATGAGTAATTTAAATTATGGTGTTTGGGGTTGGGGTTTTTTTTTAAGCTACCTGATCCCATATTATAGCCCATTAAATTCAACATGGTTTACATACATGTTTAGTATGAATAGGATTGAACCCAGTGTATTTCAAAATGTAAGTTAATTTAACAAAGGGAAGCATCAATCACTTATATCAAAACTGTTATCCTGGTCAGAAAAAAAAATGCAAAAATATTGGTAAATGTGATGTCAGGCAATAGCCTTCTGAAATCAAGTAAGCTAAAAAATAAATCTTCACATTTTATGTGGCAGCTGTGCTCATTAAATGATCTTACACCAGTAATCGCTCTGTGCCCAGCCCAACATATGTGAGTGTTACAAAAATAAAATGCAAGAATCCTCTATATCGCTCAACCAAGTGCTTTGAGAATGCTTACCATCAAGGCATAAAAGCAATGACTGTTCCCTGTAGTTTGCCCCCAGAATATGATATTCAAAGAAATGCCACCTCTGATCATGAAGAAGCCCCCATTTAGTTATTATGGTGGATCCATCCTCCATAAATCTGTCTAATCCCATTTTGAAACCACCTAGTCTCTAAGAAGGAACGTGGGTGGCACTGTAGGTTAAACCACAGAGCCTACGACTTGCCGATCAGAAGGTTGGTGGTTCGAATCCCCGCGACGGGGTGAGCTCCCATTGCTCTGTCCCAGCTGCTGCCAACCTAGCAGTTCGAAAGCATGTCAAAGTGCAAGTAGATAAATAGGTACCGCTGTGGTGGGAAGGTAAACGGCGTTTCTGTGCGCTGCTCTGGTTCACCAGAAGCAGCTTAATCCTGCTGGCCACATGACCCGGAAGCTGTACGCCGGCTCCCTTGGCCAATAAAGCGAGATGAGCGCCGCAACCCCAGAGTCGACTGGACTGGACCTAATGGTCAGGGGTCCCTTTACCTTTAATCTCTAAGAGAAACTACCATTTCATAAGAGGATTCTTACCTCTCTCTTCCCTCCCACTTCCTTTACGTCTCCCCCTAATAATTCAGATTGAAATATAATTTATTTTTGCTGTTTTTACTCTATATATCAATGGTACTATATAAATATGACTGCCCTTGAAACATTGCCCTTGCCTTTAATTTGGCCTATGCCTCGTCTCTGTTGCATCTTTTGGTTTGTTTGTTTGTTTGTTTGTTTGTAAGAGTATAAGAATCTCCTGTCTTGTAACTTGAATCCATTGTTTTGGGTCCTAGCCTCTGGAGCCAAGAGAAAAGAAGCTTGCTCCATCTTCTACGTGACAGTCCTTTAGATATTTGAAGATGGCTACCATATCACTTCTCAGTCTCCGCTTTTCCAGGCTAAACATCCCCAGCTCCCTCGACCTTTCCTCATAAGACTTAGTTTCCAGACACTTTATCATCTTGCTCTCCCTCCGCTGCACATGTTCTAGCTTGTCAATATCCTTCTTAAATTGTCTCTCTCCACCTTTTAGATGTTTTTGTTTTGTTGTGTTGTGTTGTGTTGTTTAAGATTGTGCCTGAGAAGAGTAGCACCAAGCTCAAAAACTGTTATATCACTCTTAACCTTCATGTGTTTTAGGGTGCTGTATTTGTTTACATTACTTTGAATTGAAATCATATATTGGGTAATCGGAGGTATTGTTTCGTTGCTATGGTTGTGAGCATCCCTGAAGGCTTATTTGACCATTAAGGAGGGATATAATTATAACGGATGCAACCCCAACATGGAAAACAATGAAATAATCGATGGAGGAAAATGTGTTGCCTAGTCCTTTGGCATCTGCCTGTTCATTTAAAATTAAGCAAACTCCATCTTCCCAGTTGTTTAAGTATTAAGGCACACTTGGATGTTGTTTTAAACTGATAGGGGTGACTTGTTACCTTGGTCAGCATGATTTTTAAACCGGAAATGTAGCAGTATTGTCCCTGAAGTGTTTTATTCTATCAGCCACTGTGTCCGAGGAACTCAGGGTAGTGGCACAGATTCTTATGCTCTCCCCTCACTTTAACCCCCCACCTTTGGCCATGCTGGCTGGGAATGATGGGAGATGTAGTCCAACGACATCGAAAGGGCATTCAGTTAGCAATCCTACCGGAAACGTAACAACTGGGTCAAGATCACCCAGTGAGCTTTATAACTGAAATGCAGTTTTTAACCTGGTCCAACATTTCAGCCATGAAACCACGCAGGCTCTTTGAAAAAGGCAAGCAAAGATCTGTTCATTGCTGCGGTGCCTTTCATAGTGCTGTGGTCTTCATGAGACTGTTCTTCCTCCCCCATTACCACATTACTTCCTCCCTCCCCACTCTACTATTCCTAGTGCTGCTAATAGCAACACAATGTTCTACTGTTTCACAAATCTGAAGACTTGTTTCCTCCTCTGGATAAACTATTTGGCCTCTGGACAAGATTATTTCCATATGGAACAGGATTGTTATCACTTAATAGAAAATAATTATCCAATGCAAATTGACTTATGGGTTGTCGAGCTGGCTAGAAAGCAGCAAGCTTCACGGAGCATTTTAAAGGCTGCCTTGCTGGCTGTTTAAGTACATGTAACTGCAGAGATAAAGCCCGATATTTATTTTTCCTGAGACTGAGGGGCATTAGGAATTCAGAACATAGACGCAAAAAATAACCCCCAGTGCTTTGAAAAGTAGGCGTTTTCAAGAATGGAAAGTAATGGCAAATTTCAATAAAGGTGGCATAGACAAGAGCGAAGGCAGCTAACCTGTGGTACTTTCAGAGCTTGCTGTACTCCGACTCCCACCATCCCTGGCCATTGGCCCTGCAGTCTGGAGTGACTGCCCCTCTATTATTGTCCGTGTCAGGTCTCTCAACGATTGCTGCTGTGCCCTTTCTATTAGCAGATCAAGATGACAGCAAAAACTGCAAGGGTTTTAGCGGGGGCAATTGGAATAAGATATATTATTTGATTGTTGATGTAAACCCCCAAAATGTATTTTATATAGTAAGTTTTTACCCCTGTCTCCAGTACATTTTATTTTATTTTATTGCTATGGCTAGTTGTTGTTGTTGTTTAGTCGTGTCCGCCTCTTCGTGACCCCCTGGACCAGAGCACGCCAGGCACTCCTGTCTTCCACTGCCTCCCGCAGTTTGGTCAAACTTATGCTGGTAGCTTCGAGAACACTGTCCAACCATCTCGTCCTCTGTCGTCCCCTTCTCCTTGTGCCCTCCATCTTTCCCAACATCAGGGTCTTTTCCAGGGAGTCTTCTCTTCTCATGAGGTGGCCAAAGTATTGGAGCCTCAGCTTCACGATCTGTCCTTCCAGTGAGCACTCAGGGATGATTTCCTTAAGAATGGAGAGGTTTGATCTTCTTGCAGTCCATGGGACTCTCAAGAGTCTCCTCCAACACCATAATTCAAAAGCATCAATTCTTCGGCGATCAGCCTTCTTTATGGTCCAGCTCTCACTTCCATACATCACTACTGGGAAAACCATAGCTTTAACTAGACGGACCTTTGTTGGCAAGGTGTAGTCTCTGCTGCCTTGCCGTGGCGAAGGGGCTTGAATAACTCAGAGCAGCTATGAGCTATGCTGTGCAGGGCCACCCAAGATGGGAATTTTGACCAAATGTGATCCACCTGGAGCAGGAACCGGCAAGCCACTCCAGTATCCCTGCCAAGAAAACTCCATGGACAAAGACAACAGGCTATGCCTAGTGGCTGAGGCAAATAAAGATTCTTCTGATTCTGATTCTGGAGAAGTTCCCCCAGTGTGCAGTTTGCAATGGTCAGAGATTTTCAACTTAGTCCACAGCTCCCTTGGCTAACTACATTCTTTCTGCGACATCCCTGCAGTCTATTTGCTGCTGCGGCTCCTAAAGCCCGTTGGGGTAAGGGAAAGAGAGAGAGAATTAGGGGAGGGAGGAGGAGAAGAGAGGAAGGGGGCAGCTGCACAGAGCATGGGAAGCCAACCCACTCACTGTTGAGGAACAGGCAGGACTTGGCGCAGGGAGTGGTGCCAGTCACACTGCCTGCCTGCTCGCTCGCTCACTTACTCCTTTGCTCATTCTTCCAAGCTGCTCACCGGGCAAGCAGGAGGAAGTGGGGGGGGGGACAGAGACCGGTGCTGCTCTCGACTCCCCTGACAACTGCTCATGGGTCTGTACCACACACGGTGCTGCTGCTCCATGCATCCCACTATTGGCCACCTTAGGGAGCTCCCTCACTCTGCCTAACAGTAGGGCTGGCCCTGTGAAACAGGACTCTTTTTTTTTAGGCAAGCAGGAGAGAGACTTTGTAGCGACTGATTCAGTCGTTAGAAATTGATAGGAATGGGTTGTGAAGGTATGGACATACAAAGTGGTGTGGATAGGCTGGCGGACAATACAGGGGAGGAATCAAAGGCTGTGGCGTATGTAGACATCAACAATATTACGAAATGTAGTTTGAAGCTCTGGAAGGGGGGGGGGATTGGTTACAGTTAGGATATTGGAGATCCTAGACCTAATGGTAGTCTTTAAAGGAATCTTGCCTGTTCCAGGGCCAACTATACAGGCAGATTTGCTGGGTCTCAGTTCATGGATGAGTCTATGCTAAACGAAAGGGTTTGCTTTTGTTGCTCACAGGGAGATATTTTGGAACAGGACAATCCTGTACAGAAGCAATAGACTCCACTTGTACCATAATACTCATATTTGTAAATTAGGGATGGACAGTGTTGTTGTTTTTCAGGGGGTACTCAGGGGTACGCAGTACCGGTACCTCTTCTTGTTAAAAAGTATGGCGCATACTGTCACAACTTTATGGTGAGTATCAGCATCTATTTTTCTAGAAAAAAGTGCTGGGGATGGAGGGTTCAGCCCATTCTGTTTCAGGTTAGTTTTGCATGCAGTCAGTCATAGGTCTGTTCCCCTCCATATTTTTGCAGTTTTAAAAAGACATGAATAATTTAAATTGTACATATTTTGTATGCATTTTACACACATTCTTCCCCTGGACTATGCATTTTTGGTATGCTTTTCAATGCATTCCCCCCTAAGGTAAGCATTTCTGTATGCACTTTCCCCCATAAAATGCACATTTTTGTGCACAACTTTTGAACTGAAATAGTACTCCAAAATTCACAGGTGTGCATAATCCAATCAGTGGTTGTATTCCACTCTGCATAAAAGTCCAGGACTGAAAAATTAGCTCAGTGGACCAAATGAATTTGCCCTCCATCCCTATTG